ATAAGTAAAAAAATTGTAATTTATATTTTATTATCGCCCATTTTGTTTATATACGATTAAATAAGTTTTTTTTTTAACTCAAATGAAGATGAGTATAAAAAATTCAAAACATATATTGTTATTTTATTTGTAAAAAATTTGTTAAAGTTGGAAGTTAATAAATAAAAAAACAAAGTTTATAGAGCAAAAAAACGATTAACAGACGAATTAAAAGATTTAAAGTTATATGAATCAGGAAAAAAAGATCAAGGGAGCCAATTCTAAACAACTGATGTTCGAGTAAACAAAACTTGACGAATAAGATATTTTTGGGCACTTAAGAACAGTCTCAGTAAAAGGACAAGACTCAATTGAATGACGAGTAACACAAAAATGAATTTTAGTAGATGAAACAAGAGACGCTAGCTCTTCAAAGCAGCGCCCATTATAGTATTTTTAGAAAAAAGAAAAAGAAGCAACATTACGACGGTGTAAAAATAGTTAAAGGCTGGCTGCAAGAGCAGCTCCAACTATGTTTACAATGAGTTTTTGCATCTTATCTAAAAGAGAAAGTGTATCATTTGAATATTCGCTCCGAAATGGCAATAGTATTTTATATAAGGATCGATTTGAGATTGAGATTTGAGAAACAAAAAGAATAAAATCCACAAAAAGAAAGTGGTAAGCGCGATTAAAAGATGCAATCTTAGCTAATTTAATGCTAATTTTGCATTTGATTTGATATATGGTTTCTAAGAAAGATCGGAAGTAAGAGTTAATCCTAGAAGACGAAAGGTAGATGACTCATCGAATATAAAAACCTGAGTGAAAAAAAAAGTGAGTTTTATATGAGTTAAATTATACTAATCACTGAGAACCCCAAGTTGTTGTAGAAATGAGGTTCTTTTTAAGCTCAAAGACCCTCTCCAACCAATCAAGTATTGGCTACTTATCAAGTTATCAAGACAAGAAAAAATGGTAGTAATATCAACAAACAATGCTAACTTAGATGTGAGAATTTCTGGGAGATTGGTAATGTAAATTAAAAAGAGTATAGAGCCAAGGGTAGAACCTGAGGATTTTCTGAAATTACAGGGTATGAAAAAGAGTGCTTTCCATCGAGGACAACTTTTATACTTCGATTGGTAAAGAAGTACTCTATAATCTTAAAAATGTTACCTGACACACCGTAAGAAGAAAGCTTATGGAGAAGACCAGCATGCCAAACTTTATCAAAGGCTTTAGATATGTCGAGAGCGATAACATCAACCTTTCCACATCTATCTAATGCACTATATAGCTTATTGGTTATTGCCTTTAACAAATCAGAAGTAAAACGAGAAGACCGAAATCCATATTGATAATCAGAAAGTAAGTTATTAGATTCAAGATGAAAGATTAAGTGTCTGTTAATCAAAGAATCAAAACCTTGCTTATGATCGTAAGAAGACTAATGGAACGGTAATTGGAAGAGTCAGATCGATCTCCATATTTTCTGAAATTAGGGATATCAAATGCTGCTTTTCAGCAGGCTGGAAAATAAAACTCTGATAAGCACTTGTTAAATAGTTTTGAAATAGACGACAGTTACAAAGAACACTTCTGCAAGACTATAACGGGTATGTTGTCCGGGCCACAAGCTGTAAAAGAGTCTAAGAAGGAATTTACTTTGACACAGAATCTAAAGTAATACGAACGTCAAGCAATGGATTAACCTGTTTTCTGGCTATATCAGGTAGAACGTGACTTGTGGAATCAAAAGATGATATTGGTGAGATGTTTAATATTTTCTGTTTTCTGTTTTCTTGGAAATTATTTTGCTGGTAGATTTAAAAGTAATGAGCACAATGAGAGGAAAACCATGGAGACTAGTGCTTGGCTTGGAATTGTCAAAAGGGAATAAAAAATTCTATGCCAGCCTGAATCCAAGAAGTTAAATAAGAAGCCCATTTGTCAGCAGGAAGACGAATGATTTCTACCCAAGAGCCATCAAGAAGAAAATCACGGAAAGAATCCAAGTCAGCTTTAAAGTAGTTGTAAGAGGTATGATGATAGAGAGATTCTGATAATAAAGAAAAATGAGATAATAGTTTTAGAGAGATCAAACCGTGATCAGAAGCATGTAAGGGTAAATATGGAGAAACTGAGCACTGACTATGATCAGTAACAAAACACAACTGGAAACTGGGAACACAACTCTGGAAAGCGAGTTGGAAAGTTGACTGTTTGTGTTAGAGATTGAGAAAGCCAAAAGTTGTGGGCTTTAACGCCTGCAAAGTCACTGACATTAGAACCAAGCCATCCATTGTGATAAGCATTGAAGTTATAATATAATATTCTTCACGATTTTTTACTTTTAAAAATTGACATTCGAAATTTTTTAATTAACGTTGGTAATGTTATTGTGATCACTTTCGTTTGAAAGCATTAAGAATCGTAAAGATTCAATAAGATAAATTCTTTTTCTGACGCAAATTACTTTCTTTTGTAAGTGTATATTTTTAATTAGTAAAAAGTTATTTAGTTTCACTTGCATTTTTTCATTTTGAAATATGGGTTATTAAAAGTTAAATGATTTAATATTATTCAGCTCATTTTAAATATTAACTTATTTAAAATAAACATTTTAACTTAATAAAAATATTTAATAATTGTTATTATTTTATAAAAAAATAACTTTAGTTTATTAAAAATGATTATGCAGCAGCGTTGGCGCAGTATAATTTAGTATAAGTATAAAATTTAGTATAAAAAAGCATGTTTTAGACTAGCTCTTCCACGTTACTCTTTGACAAGACCGTTAGGTCTTTTTAAAGCACCCAAAACAAAACAAAAATTTAAATTTAAAATATTATTCAACAATGTACTTTCGTTGTTTTTATAAAATTTCTTTTTCAATTCAATGTGTTTTTAAAATTGAGATTCAGCTTTCAGTAAAATTAGGTTTAAAAGTCTAAATTTGTTTTTCAGATAAGTTTGGGGTAAACATATGTCTTAAATTTGATTTTAAATCAAAAAAAGTTAAACTTGGGTCTTGCAAAGTTGACTCGCCGGTCTTTAGTCAATACTAGACCCTAAATGAATAATAAGTTTAGATTAACTAGAAATTAAATCCTGTGAATAAGATGCAACTTATCACTCTCTTCATAGTTGCTAAACATAAGTTTTAGTGTTTTGTTGCGGCAATGTTGTTTTGTGTTAGTTGATGCTGATAAAGTTTGATACTTGATTATATGACTTGATGAAGGTCAGTAAGTTTTAAGCTGGTATGCTATGTACAAAAAAAAGTTTATTTAAATTTTTTATAGCGCTCTAGGAAGCCTGTTGAGCAAAATAAATTACTAGATACTCTAGATCATACATCTAGGCGCTTGTATGACTAATTAAATGAAATGTTGGAAACCTTAAATGATGAAGAAAAAACCTTAAATGATGAATAAATTTAGAGATGTCATCAAAATGGGGTTGTGTTTATTTTGCAAGTTTTTTGTTCAAATATTTTTTGCTCACAGCAACAAAAATTCCAAAATAGTACAAATAGTTACGCACACGCCTTTCAAAGTGCGATATCATTTGTGCCACTACTGCTCATATGTCATAATGGTGACCAAAAAATTATGTGGCAAAAACCAGTGCCTTTTCTACAAGTTCTTTTCGCCCTATGCGAATTCATTTTATTCACGAAACGAAATATATAACAAATGAAGAAATCTGCTATGTACAAGATCAAATTGATAGCTTAAGAAAACTGAAATACCGAAGATTTTTGGTGGCATTATAGCAATAAAGAACACATTGGCATATGCAATGATCGATGCAAAAGTATGCAATGTTGCAACCAATGCGGCATCTACTATGAGGTGCTATCTATATATAAGTGCATGGATTCGATCATTTGAATTTTTAATTCATTTTACCGTATTTCCGTAATAAAATAAGAAGCGAGAACACCAGAGGATAAAAAAACTATAGCGGGAACAAAAAACACATACAAAACACATTTAAGGAATTAAAGCTAGTGGATATTGCAAAGGCAGGTTTTGGGAGTCCTTATGACGGTAATACATCAAGAAAATTCTTTTTATATCCACAAACCTCATCCTTATAACAGGAGTTAACTTTATTGCCATTAGATTTACTAAAAATTGTAGTATCATTTCGGAAATTTTGACGAGTAGAGATAAAATTGATGCCAAAAAAATACTCAATTTCTCCTATAATGCACAAGATATTTAGATATAGTAACACAATAATTGACTAATTGCCGCTGTACTGTCTATTGGTCAATTAATGGAAGAGGCGATTGAGGCTCTAAATAAGCACTTCTGTGATTATAGACATAATTGCTTAAGAACGTGTTCGAGAGAAAAATGAAACAGAGATATCCTAAAGAGGCTTCTGTTTTGTTTAGATCCTTTGTTGAACAGTGCTAGAAAAAGGTTCAGAAATAAAGTAAACCTTTTTCTACTGAGGCACTTTTGCAACCAGAAACTTTAAACAAACAAATTGTCAGATAAATACCATAAACTTAATTAATACTGTTTTATCTGAGTTTTTGGCAATCCCCATTAAAGTCAGCAGGCAGTTTCTGGTAACCTTGTTTATTAGCTAATAGATTATAACTGTCAATAGAATCTAGCAAAGTATCATATTTTTAACAATACCGAGACGCAGCTACAGTCAATACTTTATTGTTATCACTCAAAAAAAAATTTCTACCTTTAATACGAGATAAAAATGCGAGGTGATGCTTTGTCATGAAAAATATGATAGTGGTCGTTTGTATAATTACAAATTTTTATGACATTGATGGTTGAATAATAAAAATTCGTTATAAAATGCTAAACATGCATTACGCTTTACTAAATATTTTTCATTAAATGATACAAAGGCTAATGATACCAATAAAATAAATTTAATGCTTTAAAATCATTATATTTTTAATCCTTATAATTTATTTAATGATTTAAAAAACATCTTCTATTAAATTGAGGCTGAAGAAAAGAGTCTTTTGCAAGGAAAGGAGAAAGAATTTAAGTTAAGTGATTTATATGTTTAAGTAGTAAGATTATTAAAACTTCAAATAAGATTATTAAAAATTTTTTAATACTTTTCATCGAGATAATCGGGAAATGAGTAATTTCGTTAATCTTTTTCTTTATTTAAATTATTGCTAAACGAAAATGAAGAACAAATATGCACAAATTTACAACAAAAATAAACAACGCAATAAACCCAAAGTAAATTGAGCAAAACGCTAAGTTTCTGGCTGCTAACGAGTGCTTCTCGGCTTTAAAAGGTTCTTTTCTAGCAAGATTGAAAGCAACCTAAATAAATAGTATACTTTATAAAGAAAACATAAAAACCAGTTTTAATTTAAGATGTGTTAATAAACAAAAAAATAAAAATAACTAATATAAAACAAATAAACACTGCATATAAAATATTTGTTTATTTTACTGTTACAATTAAGTAAGATACACTAAATTTAAGTTTAACATTTTTAAAAAATATTAAACTTAAGGTAAACTTATTAGTAAAATATACCTTGTACTAGCAATAAAAGAAAGAAATATTTTATATGCAATGTTTATTTGTTTGACCACTACTTTATATATATATACGTTTATATATATATATAAATATATATATATATATATATATATATATATATATATATATATATATATATATAAATATATATATATATATATATATATATATATATATATATATATATATATATTATATATATATATATATATATGTATATATATATATATATATATATATATATATATATATATATATATATATGTATATATATATATATATATATATATATATATATATATATATATATATATATATGTATATACCTACATTACATATATATACATACATATATATATATATATATATATACATATATATATATATATATATATACATATATATATATATATATATATATATATATATATATATATTTATATATATATGTGTATTTATATATATTTATATATGTATATACCTACATTATATATATATATACATACATATATATATATATATATATATATATATATATATATATATATACATATATATATATATATATATATATATATATATATATATATATATATATATATATGTACATATATATATATATATATATATATATATATATATATATATATATATATATATATATATATATATATATATATATATATATATATATATATATATATATGTACATAAATACATATATATATACATATATATGCATATATAAAGTATATATATATATATATATATATATATATATATATATATATTTACATATATATATATATATATATATATATATATATATATATATATATAGATATATATATATATATATATATATATATATATATATATATATATATATATATATATATATATATATATATATATATATATATATATATATATATATATATAATGTAGGTATATATATCTGTCTATTTTCACAACTTTACAGGAGAGGAATTTTAAACTTTTTTTCAACAAAAAGTGTTATTGGCACAGCTATTTATTGAGATGTTGAAACAATATTTTACCATTCTATTTATTGTTATTTACATCATGCAGTTGTTATAAAATAAAATAAAAACTTTTTTATGGTTTTTTTTCACTTTTTAATGGACATGGTGTTGTATCCCTCTAATAAAGTTATTGTACTATAAGACCTAATGTGGGATATTCAATAACAAACACATTACTATTTGACTTACAAAATGTATTTAACTATTTTATTTATAATTCTCTTTACAAATACAAATAATACATCTATGTATTCAACTAAAATGGTATTTTAGATGCAAAAAACTCAATCATCATCAGGTAAGTCTCCTTCAGGGTACTTACTAGTGGTATTACTAGTATGCTTTAAGTTTTTATAAAAGTCATGGCAAACTGTAGGAACATATGGTAGTAATGCCAATAGATCATTATACTTTTGTTGTGATATTGGTATTGGACTTGGTGTTACCAGTTGCAAATCGTTTGGCAATGTAAGGTGTCGCCTTCGAAACCTAACAAGGTCAATCTCCTGGTTTTCATCAGCGAAATTACTTTTCAAAAACAGAGTTCCCATGCTGTTCTGTTTTACTTGCAGTTGAACACAGGTTGACAGAAGAACTTGTTCTTTGTTGACATTTTTTTTTTCTATTAATAAAGGGTGGATTTTCACATGTTTTGACATTGTACAAAGACCTAAAATTTTTAAAATCTTCCAGTTCCATATTATGCACAGTATATTTCATTAAGGTCTGTCTGACTAACTGCTGCCAATCCCAGGGCGTTAGAATTGTCATGTTGTTAAGTTTTTTTCTCTTCCGCTCTATCAGTGCATGGACAGTATCCGCCTCCATATGCGTGTGGCCCTTTAGTAGAAACTTTTGAGTGATGATTTTTACTTGAGGATACTTATTTAGTATCCAAAAGAAACACATAAAAAGGCTAATATTCTTATTCTGGCCATAACAATTATCCGAATACAGAATGATTTCTTCAATGTCACTGCCAGGAATGACGGTGTCTGCCCATTTCAGTAATGCAGATCCGATTTCATTTCCGCCACGAGCTCCTTTGGATTCGTCCCACATAATACAATGGACTGACGAATCAGAAGAATCAAAAAGGGTGTAATTCAACGTCCAAAGTTTTCTCTTGTAAAAGCTTATGCAATTTGTTATAAGGGGTGACGGCAAACATTTTTGAAGATCACCCGTTAATACCTTAAGGGTATTGTTAGCACTTTTGGTGTCCTCGCTTTTTAAATCATACCTTATTTTAGATTCATCCAGTTGTGAATTATGGTCTTCCTCAATAGAATTTTTTTCATCTAGAGTCAAATTATTATTTTTTAATTTTGCTTGAAAATAATTACCTGTGTCACACGTGTCTATTTCTGGTGGTTTGAAATTCAACTTAAATTTTTTGTTGAACACATTGTAGTAGAGCCATTTTTTAGCTATTAACAAAGGGTTGAAATCATTTTCATTACAATCCTCTACATACAGTTCATACATTTTCTCTATGTTCAGGTGCGGACCCAAATACTCCATATCAATCTTTTCCCTACTGTAATGACTGCTATAATTTGGGAAGGAAGAGATGTGTCTTACTACACTTTCAACAGTGTCATTATATGTATTGACGGGAGTTTGCTTACCCCTTTGATCAATTTTTACAATTCCACCAGGTTCAATATTTTTCAAAACATTAACTACCACGGTGTTTGATATAGATATTGTATTTAAAAACATAAGTTTACATACTCTAGTTCGTATGCCTTTTACTGTAAAATAATATTGTAGAGTATTTTGTTTTGACTTATTGGAGGCAAGGTCTCGTTTTCTTGAACGGACAGTACTATGCTTCTCTACACATGAAACAATGAGTTGCCGTTTTATGTCATTTCCCTTCTCCTGACTCCAGTATGCATTAAAGATCTCCTGTCTGTAACTTTGTAATAATTTTTCAGAACATTTCAGTCTGCAAGAACAAGGAGGTTTAATAATTCTGGTAGGGACAATTTTTTACTAATATACTCTTCACCTGCAGAATATTTACGTTTCTGAATATTACATGCCCATTCACTGGTATGAACGACACGTTTTTTACCTATCTGAGTAGAAATAGATTTATTTTTAACTTTTCTCCTTACGCCTACTGTTCCTTGCAAATCTAGGCCTACTTGATTTTCAAGTAAACGTAGCTCATGTCCATTTGAGTTTGTTTTAGCACTAGTTTTATTTCTACTGACCTCATTTTGTATTTCATTAAAAACAGGGACATCATCACTGGAATCCGTTTCAGAGCTTGGAGTTTCATAATTTTTGTCCCGATAAGAATCATCATCATCTTCGTCGAAACGCAAGTCATCTCCATTATCCTCTTCATTTTCAACATCCTTGCTGTTTGTATGATTTGGTTCTAAAATAAAACAAGTCTTATAATATTACATGTAAAACATAATATTTTGAAAATTAGGTTCATAACGAAACATTATATTAACTGTTTGAGGTTATGTATATCACATTAAAAATAATGAGCAAAACAGTAGCTTACCTGTAGTAGAATCTTTTTTTAATACTTTTCAATAGTTCTAGAATCATTCTCCCACGAGAATTATGGTTCATTATTCTTACTATTACTAAAAAAGAGCAATTATTATGACTTAAAATACATCCAACTATCCGTGCGTTCTTTTGTACCTACCTGGTAAGTTGCAGTTAACTTTTTTGCTCCCGAACGCTTTCGGTTAGTTAGCTATGAAGCTTTGACACTATTGGCTGCTGAGAATAGGTTGCCAGGGCGACAGCACGTAAGCGCCGCCTAGATGACACACTGCGTATGTCAACCGATCTCGCCAAAGTCCAAACTACGGTAAGATGAGGAAGTAACTGAACTTACCGAGTACCCATAAAAGAACGCTTGTGGTAAGTTACGGTGACTTCAAGTACCCATAAAAGAACGGGAAAGTGACTTCCAGTTAACCGCAAGTCACCAGGTGGGTATAAACGAACGCACGGTATGTAAACTCATCAGAACTGTCAAAAGTACTCTTAGTTCACTAACAATCCGCCAGGCTGTGTAGAGGTATACAACACTATGTGCAGTAGTAATTCACATGCTTCAGAAGGATAAAACACCAAGTCCACATCGTGTTCTATCCCTCTAAATGAAAGTGGACTTGGTGTTGTTTTAAAACATGCTATATCCGGTTCTAACTGGTTTTGGACATAGTGCTCTATTCCTCTAAGAAATATGAGAAAAGCTGATTTTAACTCTGTAATAAAGTCAATATGGAAAAAAATGGACATAGTGTTGTATCCCTCCGAGGTACCGATATATATATATATATATATATATATATATATATATATATATATATATACATATATATATATATGTATATATATATATATATATATATATATATATATATATATATATATATATATATATATATATACACACACATATATGTATATATATATATATATATATATATATATATATATATATATATATATATATATATATATATATGTATATACACACACATATATGTATATATATATATATATATATATATATATATATATATATATATATATATATATATATATATATATGTATATATATATATATATATACATATATATGTGTATATATATATATATATATATATATATATATATATATATATATATATATATATATATATATATATATATATATATATATATATATACACGCACAC